AAACTATCAGACTCTATAAAGGGGTCTAAAGCCAGTAAGCTGCAATTGCTATTCCTTTAAAAAGTTTCTAACTTTCCTGTTTGAATACTTATGTTTTTATTATACATGCTGTAATTTCTCAGAAAATTTATTTCTTAGAAGATATCAAAACCTAGGTAATCATACAGGTAAAACTTGCAGTAAATATATTTGATTACTTTTAGATTCCGTTTACTGGTATTCATCAGATTTTGTCTATATAAATATAGTAATGCCTTAACTAACCACCTCATACAGTCCAGGTGAGCTGAACCTTCTCAGTGTTTCCTACCTCATTAGAAGTGAAGCTATCTTCATGTTCCTTGGACATGGCTGATTGCCCTCAAAGATGCTTCCTTTATCAGTCTAATTCTATGCCAGAAAATTCACCACAGAGGAAGTTTCCCTCCTATTCCTTGAGCAAGACTGCCTTCAGGAGGTCTTAAAACCAAAATGTTATCTTTTTCAGTGGGCTCCGGATATCTGGCACAAGCTGCAGAAGTTAGAAGGGTTTTCAGGAATGAATTTGTCTGAGTTGAGGTGTTTCATAGTAGAAAGGATACAGAATGGAATCATAGACAGAAAATGAGAATAGCGATACTAGCAACCTACAGGAATGAAGGTCAGTCAGGAAACGGGAAAATTTAATGTTTCCAAGGAACCAGAGAGAAGGGGCATTTCAAGCAAAAAATGTTCAAAGCTGGTAGAGAAGGAAAAAAGAAAGTGTTCATGATGAAGTCAGAGGAAATGTCAGATTGAGGTAGTCATGGGTTTTCCCCTTTCAGCCTCAGGGAAACCATGCTAACTGCCAATACAAGGGGAAAGCCTGTTAAACTAAACACTCATGCAGTTACCCAACCAGTGTCAGTTACCCAACAAGTGGACCCACTTGCAAACTGGAAAATACTCAGTGTTTTCCATAGATCCTGTAATTCATGTGCCCCAGTAATAATAAAATTGGCCAGTTTCCTTGAGACAGTACCTAATGGATATGGAAGATTAAAAAAAAGGGATTAAACCCCATGTATCAGAGATCTCTGTTAATGGACCTAAAAAAAACTCTAAGTAGGCTTTTTGTAATTATGAACTTTAAAATGCAGTGTGCTCAAGAGACAGCTCAGTGGTATAAGTGCCTGACTGGCAAGTGCAAGGTCCTGAGTTCGATTCCCTAATACCACAATAAATAAATAAATAAATAAATAAATAAATAAATAAATAAATAAAATGTTATGACATTCCAGATCCTTCTAATGTCTTAATAGCTGTTGAAAATTTTAGATATGAAATCAATGGTAGGTAAGATGCTGAGATTCCCTGGACCTTATCTTTATCATTTTTATGGGAAGTTATTACTGTCTACTTCATACAAATCTTTGACTAAATTCATAATTACCCTGTTGACGTGCTTATTTGCCTCATGCATGTTTATTTGTTTGGCTTTGTCTCCTCCAGACTCAAAACTATTAACCTATTCAGGATAAAAATGTGTGGTGTCTATTGAGGGCCTTTAGATAGAACCTCTGGATAGTATCTCAGACTTCTGGTCAACAAGTACAACTCCTTTCAGCCTGAAGAAGCCAGAGTGGTCATTGTCCATGGTTCCCTCATGGCAGTTCAGGTTACTTCTTCAGAGGGAGCAATGTTGTAGGCAGATGAATTAGATAGAAATATTCTAGGCAGTCATAGAGGGCCAGGCCTCCAAGGAGACAATATGGAAGACAAAGTGATTCTGGAACTTGGAAGAAATAGGCGCTCCCATATGGGCCATACCTCAAAACAAAAGAGGAAAGAAATACAGCTAGATGCTTCCCTAGGGATGGGCATCAGGGGTTAATATTCTAAATAGGTATCAATCACGTTGAAAGAGCCCAAATGAATCACTAGCCCAACACCTAACAGGAAAAAACTCTGTCCCATATACATGCCTGCTTGCTACGTAACTCACTTCTTCATTTGGCCCTGGACTCAATCAATTTTACCTAAGCAATGGTGCTTGTAATCACATTGGTGGACCATAGTTTTGTCCCACCTCTTACCCACCTAAGCAAGTTCCCTTGTTGTCCACCACCTTAGACTTACCTCACCACATGGTTTTGTTGTATAAGGGTCCCTGGAAGAGACAGTTTCCTGGGGATTACCTACTTGGGGCCCCTTCTGTTCCTCTATTGGACAGAAGCTTTCTTTTCCCCAATAAATATATTCTGCTCAGATAAAAATTAGGAGTTTGGGCTACATAATACTGACTTCATGCAGTAGGTCCATTATGGGGAAATATCCGGCCAGATTTGATACAAGTTTTTGAGACAAAAAGAGCAGTCAGAAGAAAAAAAAACTGATCCAAGTCATGGGTTTTCATTGTCCTTTTCATAAAGTCTTATTTGTGTGCCTTGCATGAAGGGGAAGGCATCAAAAGGCTTTTTCTCTGTTCATTAACTTTTTGGCATCAATAGAAACCCTCTCAGCTATGACTAACTAGTCTGTTTCTTACTGTACTTCTCTGTTGTGTCAAAAGCAGCATGATCCTGAAAGTAAAGGAAGATAGACAAGCTGAATAGGAGACATTTCTTATAGAAATGCTGATCTTTAGTTTTCCAGTGTAATGTAAAATGGTGTATTGGACTTTTTGGCAAATATGCAATACATTTACTAAGAGAACACTAAAAAGTAGGAAGTGTTTAGGAAATTTTGTCATTTTAAATACAGTAGTTCTGAGAAATAGATTTAACTCATCTCTTTTATAAAAATTTACATTAATTTGTATCATGTTTGTCTTTTGTCTGTTCTTTTGTCTCAAATAATTGTATCAAATGTAAATCATATCATTACACTGATAGTAATATTAATTCCTCTATCAACTGTTGACACAAAAATTTATAGTCATACACATAAATACCCCACTATATTTTGTACCATACAATAAATTTCCAAAACAACAGCATTTCAGTAAATTATTATTGGTTGAAAGATGTCAAGTTATGAAAAAGTGCATTTTGAATCACATGCATTCTCCGTTCTTTCACTCAGACCTGTTTTTTTATTACTTGATCATCATTTTCATATAGATTAACAAATCATTATGCATGCATCAAAATCATGCTTAAAAATCTGATTAGCTGAAGATAGCTACATTTTGTGCAATTTCATTTTCCCAAGAAACATTTTCAAGCTACACCGCTGATTTGAATCATTAAGTAACATAATTCTTTGAAAATTAAATCAGACCATTTCTCAAATCACTATTTTGTCTCAACACTATGTTTAGTGATACACATTTAAAATTTTTATAGGAGAGATGAGATGTATCTATTTGTCAGAGCCACTGTGACTCTTTAAAATGACAAAATTTCCTGGAAACTTCCTTTTTTAATGTTCTCTTGGTAAATATATCACATATTTATCAAAAAATATAATATGCTATTTTACATTACACTTTAATGGA